AAAGTGACATTTAAAGGCTTAATTAGGTTAATTATGTTAACTAGGGCAGGTTGAGGTAATTACACAAGTTATTGTATAATGATGGTTTGCTCTGTAGACTATCGAAAAAATAGCATAAGGGGCTAATAATTTTGACCTTAATTTATTATTTTTTTATTGAAAGAAAAACTGCTTTTATTTTAGTCGAAATTTAACAAATAAGACCTGCTCCAGAAGAAAACAAATATTATTAGATATACTGTGAAAATTTCCTCGCTCTGTTAAACATAATTTGGGAAACATTTAAAAAGGAAATTAAAATTCAAAGAGAGCAAATAATTCTTCAACTGTATGCAGGTTATCAACACTAGCTTAAATTATTTAGAGAAAATTTTCCAATATTGTCTATTATCCCTAAAAGGCTTTGGATTATTAAAATTTTACAAAGGTTTTCCCACATCTTGTGCAACTTTTTTCATTTCATCCACATAAGCAGCCATGGCCGTCTCTCGACTCATTTCTCCCAGATTACTCCAAGCTTCCCTGACATAAAAAAAAAACAGAAAAACAAGGCATGAAGTTTGATTACATTACAACTTGAATGCAGGCCCATAGCTAGGAAGGGGTTCAGGTGGTTCAGAAAACCCACCCCTCACTGACAAAGGTCCAGAAATTATCCCATGCATGGGCTCATTTGTCCTCTTTTGACTGCTATGCCATCATTAAAAGTGAAAATAGCCTATCAAAAAAGGCTTTAAGACCTAACTAAATCCTGGTGTGACTTCAGTTAAACAGTTTTGGCCAATGCAAACTAATATTTTTCAAGAGTCCAACATCCAGCTGTGCAAGAAAACAATCTGACATAAGCAAAGTCATCTTTCGCTACTGTATTGTTTAAAAAAAAAAAAAAAAATTTGACCATATATATATATATATATATATATATATATATATATATATATAAGTAACTTTTATTCTATAAATCGACCTTGTTCTTGAAGGAAAACATGATCAATTAAAAGTGTGAAGCACATTTACAAGAGAGGCTTAAAAATTGTAAAGCTCTGAAAAATAATAATAATTATTATTAAGTTGTAGTTATTTATTATTCAAATGGCCAACATCTGACGAAGAAAAATTTAATGTGCTGGCCCATTTGTTAAAACATTTTTTCTAATGATATATGATGTTAATAAATTTCTATTTTAAAAACAAATATTTGTCATATTTATTTGTTATAAATATTTAGCAAAATATATTTGGTACATCAAAAAGTGTGGTTATGATGACCATCCAACAAGCTAATTCAGCTAAAAAATAGTGCTTAACATGTCACCTAAATTCAGCAGTCAAATGTCAAAATGAAATAAAAAATGAGGTGAATAACTGCAAAAAAAGTTCACTTTTTGAAAAAAAAAAACAAGAACCACCCCTTTTACCAGTCTGGCTACGGGCCTGGAATACATTGCAGCTTCTGAACATTGAAAGTGTTAAAATGTACATTATGAAATGTGAATATGTTTCAAACTTCATTCAAAACTTTACCATTTGTAACGTCCTACAGGGTCCCAAAATCCAGGGCGTGACAGTGTACATGGGCCACAGACTGCCTGTTTGAACAGGCCATAAAACCGCAGCATTACTTCATAAGATGGTTTGTAGGTACCTGTGCAAGTGTCATTTGAAAATTTACCATTGGTGCTGCTGCAACATGCAAAATAATCTAAAGTGGTGTAATATCATTTAAAGAAAGGCTAGCAATGTCAAATTGCACAAGTTTGACTTAGGTTACACTAATAAGCTAGGATATTTTTAAAGGTGAGCAAATCTACCATTTTTAGGTAGACTTTGAATGACGTCGACAGCAGCCTGAAAGCGTCTTTGGCAGTCCTCGATCTCTGACATTGTAAGAGCTGGCATGCCGCATGTAGTCTTTCCAACACCACGTTAATTAACTGGACAACCTGTAAATTATATATAACGTTATGTTGACAAATGATTCATTCTTTACGATGTCCTAAAATCTAAATTTGGAAGCTCCCAGACTCTCAAACGCTTGTACTACAAGAATATAATTTTAAAATTCGTGTAAATATTATAATGAATTGTCAGTTTGGTCGCCTTTTCTATTCTTTCTCATTTTAGGTTTCATAGCTAGGCGGTTCAGCTTACCTGCACTGTAACGGTACTTTTGCTGCCATTGGACAAACTAAAATAAAAACAGTAACGTTAACGTTATAGCGACCGATCCACTGCGGTCAAGCCAGCCGCGGTTCGGAAAAACACAGTCAAGCCAGCCGCGCTTTATATTTCGGTGCGCGCGTATTATTATCATTACGGTAATGTCAGCAGCCACACAGAGAGCGCTCACAGAGCACCCATTTCGCCCAGAACAGAGAGATGACAACGAAATATAAGTTTATCCCCCTTTCCTCCCACGTATGCTTTATTAAACAATTTATTAGCTTTTTTTGACTGTTGTTATTTTAAGAAATTGCTTTCTGGGCTTACCTTTAATTTCCTCAAGTCTATCTTTTTGCTTCAAATGATTTTATAGCAGATCAAACGGACAGAATAAATATACGATTTCTAAATACACAGAATGCGTTTCTACTTCTCCTAGCCAACTACAGTACATTGCAAATAAGGTTAAATGCAATTTTATACAACGTGGCTAACCTCAGAAAGTGAAAACAATCATAATTAGTCCAACAAAACATTGTTTGAATTACAAATATATGTTTATTTTATTTAAAGGGGATTTAAAAGGTTATGTTTCTTTCAGTATATGGGATATGGGGCATTATTTCACTTTAGATGACTGTAAAGACCTTATTGTTATAAGTAGAATAGAACAACAATAAGATCGATGCAGGAAGTCAAATACTAAGCATACATCATATGAAGCCTGTTTTACTGCAGCATTTTGGAGAAATGTACCATTAACACCCTTTAAAGTCCTATAAAGAAATAAGTAGAAAAAACCCCCCAAAGTTTGGTTCTGATACAGGATGTACATGCATACCTCATGTGAAAGACCTCATTTAAGTTAACAGAAGAAAACTATGGACAGGACATCCAATATTATATGCATATCTCATAATAACTTACTGCAGCATTTTGGAGAAATGGGCAATTAATGACCTATAAAGTCTTTAAAGTGTTATAAATACATTGTTTGGAATAAGTTAAATAAAAGAGTGATCAGGTCTGATACTAGATGTCCCATGCTATATGCATATATACAACATATGAATCCTTTTTACTGCAGCAATTTGGAAAAAAATTGATCATTTAAAAGATGTAGAAAAAAAACAATAGTCAGGTCTTATACAGGACATCCCATACTAAACCTCATATAAAGACTTGTTACTGCAGCATTTTGGAGAAATTGGGCATTAACATTACTCAAAGTGTTATGAAGACCCAATTTTCAATAAATAGACAAAAAACAATGATCAGTTCCTGTACAGAACATCACATACAATATGCATACTACATATAAACACTTCTTACTCTAGCAATCTGGAGAAGTGGGACATTAACATAATATAAAGTGTTATAAAGACCCCATTTCGAATAAGTAGAAAGAAACAATGGTCAGTTCTTATTAAGGACATCCCATACTATATGTGTACTTCACATGAAATCTTTTTTACTGCAGCGTTTTGGAGAAACTGGGTATTAACCTATTATAAAGTGATATAAAAACCCCATTTCTAATAAGTAGAAAAAAACAATGGACAGTTCTTATACAGGACATCCCATACTATATCTGTACTTCACATGAAGCGTTTTTACTGCAGCATTTTAAAGAAACGGGGTATTAACATAACGTAAAATACTATAAAGACCACATTTTAAATAGGTAGAAAAAATCTATGGTCAGTTCTTATACAGGACATCCTATACTATATGTGTACTTCACATGAAACCTTTTTACTGCAGTGTTTTGGAGAAATTGTATATAATATATTTCAAAGTGTTCTAAAGACCCCAATTCAAATAAGTAGAAAAAAAAAACAATGGTCAGTTCCTTTACAGGACATCCATACTATATCTGTACTTCACATAAAAATTTTTACTGCAGCATTTTGGAGAAAAGGGGTATTAAAATAAAATAAAGTGCTATAAAGACCTCATTTCAAAAAAGTAGAAAAAAACAATGGTCAGTTCTAGTACAGGACATCCCATACTATGTGTGTACATTACATGAAACCTTCTTACTGCACTGTTTTGGAGAAATGAGGTATTAAAACAACAAAGTGATATAAAAACCCCACTTCAAATAAGTAGAAAAAAACAATGGTCGGTTCTTATACAGGACATCTCATACTATATATGTACTTCACATGAAACCTTTTTACTGCAGCATTTTAGAGAAACAGGGTGTTAACATAGAAAAAAAGTACTATAAAGTCCACCTTTCAAATAAGTAGAGAAAAACAATGGTCAGATCTTATACACGACACCCTTATCTCTGTATGTACTTCAAATGAAAGCTTTTTACTGCAGCATTTTAAAGACACGGGGGAATTAACATAGTATAAAGTAATATAAGGACCCCGTTTTAAATAAGTAGAAATAAACAATGGTCAGTTCTTATACAGGACATCCCGTACTATATGTGTACTTCACATAAAAACTTTTTACTGCACTGTTTTGGAGAAACGGGGTAATAACCTGATATAAAGCGCTATAAAGACCCCATTTCAAATAAGTAGAAAAAGACAATGGTCAGTTCTTATACAGGACATCCCATACTATATCTGTACTTCACATGAAATCTATTTACTGCAGCATTTTGGAGAAAGGGGGTATTAACATATTTTATAGTGCTATAAAGAGCCCATTTCCAATAAGTAGAAAAAAACAATGGTCAGTTCTTAAACAGGACGTCCCATACTATGTGCACTTCACATGAAACCTTTTTACTGCAGCGTTTTAAAGAGACGGGGTATTAACATAATATAAAATACTTTAAAGACCACATTTTAAATAAGTAGAAAAAAACAATGGTCAGTTCTTACACAGGATATCCCATACTATGTGTGGACTTCACATGAAACCTTATTACTGCAGTGTTTTGGAGAAATTGTTTAATATTATATTTCAAAGTGTTATAAAGACCCCAATTTAAATAAGTAGAAAAAAACAATGGTCAGTTCTTATACAGGACATCCCATACTATATCTCTACTTCACATGAAACCTATTTACTGCAGCATTTTAGAGAAATGGGGTATAAACATAAAATAAAGTCCTATAAAGACCCCATTTCAGATAAGTAGAAAAAAACAATGGTCAGTTCTTACACAGGACATCCCATACTATATATGTACTTCACATGAAACCTTTTTACTGCAGCATTTTAAAGAGACGGGGTATTAACATAATATAAAATACTATAAAGACCGCATTTTAAATAAGTAGAAAAAAACAGTGGTCAGTTCTTACACAGGACATCCCATACTATGTGTGGACCTCACATGAAACCTTATTACTGCAGCGTTTTGGAGAAATTGTTTAATATTATATTTCAAAGTGTTATAAAGACCACAATTTAAATAAGTAGAAAAAAACAATGGTCAGTTATTATACACGACATCCCATACTATATGTGTACTTCACATGAAACCTATTTACTGCAGCATTTTAGAGAAATGGGGTATTAACATAATATAAAGTGCTATAAAGACCCCATTTCAAATAAGTAGAAAAAAACAATGGTCAGTTTTTGTACACTACATTCCATATTTTGTGTGTACATCACATGAAACATTCTTACTGCACTGTTTTGGAGAAATGAGGTATTAACATAACATAAAGTTGTATAAAAACCCCATTTCAAATAAGTAGAAAAAAATAATGGTCAGATCTTATACAGGACATGCTAATCTATGTGTGTACTTCACATGAAACCTTTTTACTGCAGCATTTTAAAGAAAAGGAATATTAACATAATATAAAGTGCTATAAAGACCCCATTTCAAATAAGTAGAAAAAGACAATGGTCAGTTCTTATACATGACATACCATACTATATATGTACTTCACATGAAACCTTTTTACTGCAGCATTTTGGAGAAACGAGGTATTAAGCCAATATAAAGTGCTATAAAGACCCTATTTTAAATAAGTAGAAAAAAACAATGGTCAGTTCTTATACCGGACATACCATACTATATGTGTACTTCACATGAAACCTTTTTACTGCAGCATTTTGGAGAAAGGGGGTATTAAGATAATATAAAGTGCTATAAAGACCCCATTTAAAATAAGTAGAAAAAGACAATGGTCAGTTCTTATACAGGACATCGCATACTATATCTGTACTTCAAATGAAACCTATTTACTGCAGCGTTTTGGAGAAAGGGGGTATTAACATAATATAAAGTGCTATAAAGACCACATTATAAATAAGTAGAAAAAGACAATGGTCAGTTCTTATACAGGACATCCCATACTATATGTGTACTTCACATGAAACCTTTTTACTGCAGCGTTTTGGAGAAACGGGGTATTAACATAATATAAAGTGCTATAAAGACCCCATTTCAAATAAGTAGAAAAAAACAATGGTCAGTTCTTATACAGGACATACCATACTATATGTGTACTTCACATGAAACCTTTTTACTGCAGCATTTTGGAGAAAGGGGGTATTAACATAATATAAAGTGCTATAAAGACCCCATTTCAAATAAGTAGAAAAAAACAATGGTCAGTTCTTATACAGGACATACCATACTATATGTGTACTTCACTTGAAACCTTTTTACTGCAGCATTTTGGAGAAAGGGGGTATTAACATGATATAAAGTGCTTTAAAGACCCCATTTCAAATAAGTAGAAAAAGACAATGGTCAGTTCTTATACATGACATACCATACTATATATGTACTTCACATGAAACCTTTTTACTGCAGCATTTTGGAGAAACGGGGTATTAAGTCAATATAAAGTGCTATAAAGACCCTATTTCAAATAAGTAGAAAAAAACAATGGTCAGTTCTTATACAGGACATACCATACTATATGTGTACTTCACATGAAACCTTTTTACTGCAGCATTTTGGAGAAAGGGGGTATTAACATGATATAAAGTGCTTTAAAGACCCCATTTCAAATAAGTAGAAAAAGACAATGGTCAGTTCTTATACATGACATACCATACTATATATGTACTTCACATGAAACCTTTTTACTGCAGCATTTTGGAGAAACGGGGCATTAAGCCAATATAAAGTGC